TCCTGCCCCTCTGAGAGAATGTGCTCCCACTGACTCCAGGCTGGAAGGCAAGCAACCCTTGACACATCACCTCCAAGGAGCTGCCTTAAGGAAACCTGAACTGGTTAAAAATTTACCTCGGTACCGTCACTGCATCTTCTATAGTGGTGAGGCCCAACTGTCCATCGCTGCCAGCGCCCCAGGAGAAGAGCTGGCCCTGGTCGCTGAGTGCCACGCTGTGGGACTCTCCGCAGGCCACGTGCACGATGTGCTGCCCGGCCAGGGCTCCAATTTGCTCTGAGGAAAACAGAAAACCTCTCCAGTCACAGGATTCATCTGACAGTGACATGCAGACATCAGGTCTAGGCAAATCTGCACACACAGCCATTCAGATGGGTGCACTGATCCCCAGTTTAGTTTTAAAACACTTCCCACAAGAGGAAAGCACCAGGTTTTACTGAAAAAAAAAGTAGCTGCTGAGCTCTTCCAAAAGCCTGGTCTGCAAATCATAGGAGAAAGGCAGGTACATGCCCCCAAGCACAATGACGGTCTACACACAGCCAGCCTCACAGATACAGGGAAACCTATCAGGTTATTTAGGAACAACCAGACTTCCCACACTTGGGGTTTTCTCACTCAGTTTTGATGCGGGGATCAGCCAGGACCCAGAAGTTGGCAGACCCTGTAAAACATATGTGACCTTCCACAGCTCTCATGTCCAATGAAGATGAGCAATCCACAAAGCTAAACAACCCATCTGCCCCTAGCTTTATTGTTCAATGCATGGAAGAGTACGTGTTACGACATCACCCATGCTAAGCTTAGAACAGGTTTGAACCTATCAACTTATTGCTGCCACTGTCAGACACTCATAAAAAGTCCCATAAAAAGGAAGCAAAGCAAGAAGGCCTTACAGAATAAAAGAGAAAAAAAATCAGAGTCCTCTAGAAAATCACCCACAATTGACTTTTTATCATTACATTGCATTAGGCAACCGAAGTAAGTTTGACAACTACTCTTAGAACATCAACAAGCAAATCTTATTTATTACGCAGAGTTTTTACAAATGGACATGAAGTCTTGTTTTGCATTAAAGCATTGGAAATGCCACACATCTGATGGAAAAACTCCCCACAAGCCAGTCAGAAGGAAAGTTGGTTTTCTTTTTTCTTCCCTGTATAAATGCAAATGTTTCAGGTGGACAAAGAAAGATTTCACCCTACAAGCTACAAGGCAGTGATCACTTTTATTAAAGTCCCACTTGCCTGCGACATGAACGGGAAGGGTAGTTACACATCATTCTATAAAAATGATACCCCACTTCAAGGGCATCCAGAAATCATTAACATACTTAGCACCAAAACCTGCATACCAATCAATCTAAATGTCTTAAATGAATTTAAAAGGAAGGCACCCCTAGGAGGGCTAAGTTTGAGAGTCAGGAAATGAGGAGAAGAATCCCTAATGGATGTTATGGAAGAGAGAGGTGGCAATTATTTAAATATGCATTCTAACAGAGAAAAATGCCACCTGAACTTGTGCTTCCTTTCACTCAAAATAATTAATGGTAAAGGAGGTGCAGTTTACAAGTAATAAGCAAACAAACATCTAGGAGAGTTGGAGGACTGGGCCTGCCTGAGATCCGTCCATCGTTTAGCCCTGCCATCTAATAACGCCCTTCCAGCAGGACTAATTTCGCCCAATCCCACTGCCAACCCTATGCAAAGACACAGGCAGGTTTTGAGGGCAGTAACTCAATTTACACATGTGGTTTCCACACTTGGGCCCATAAGCATCCAACTGTAGCACTGCTTGGCATCCCATTTTATGTTCATTTGCATATAATTAAGGGAGCCTATTTTTATGCATAAGCTCTAAACAACCAGCAGCTGTACATGCTGGTCAAGGTCAATCACAAACAACAGACAAGGTGTCTCGACAGCACATGTGGCTATGGTCTATTCCTCTCAGTCAGCCAGCAAGACAAAAAAAAAATACCTGCTGCAACATGCCTGACACTTCGGCCAAGCGTGTTTCTGTACTGCGACCTGCAGGTTCCAAACTAAAGCTCCTGCTGGAGAGGATCCCACCATCAAAAGAAGAGAGGAACGAAGCCATTCAGATCTTCACAGGAAAACCCTTTGATTCATGAACACCTCACTTTGCTATAAGCTTGCTGGCCAAGGTGCACTGAGATGGTCACAAACCTGCCCTTCTTCCAAAGCTGGTCCCTGCACACTGCCAAACACCTCAGGGGACAACCTGAGTCTGACAAAAGGAGAAACATGGACAATATGGGAGGCTAGGGCATCCATAATGGAGACTGTTTTGCTACCTGCAGGCATGACAAAGCAAATTTCTTCCCTGGAAAAGCAGTATTTGCTGCAGTAAGTATACATCTCATTTGCTGTGGAAAGACTACTGCGAGCAGCCCCTGAGCCATCAGAGCACCGTGGGGAGGTGGCAGAAGACTTCAGTGACCAAAGATCAGCATCAAGAGCTGGAGGAGGCAGGACTCTGACCACAGCAGTACTGCAATGGGAGAAAGAGGGCCCTGAGCTATCAGGAGGCTGCAGCAACAACTACATAGCAAGGGCTTCACACACTGGGACACAGAGAGGACATCCAACAGGTTTAGAAATCCAGAGTGATTGCTTCAGTCCCCACAGACTCCATCTTAAGTTTAATTTAGCAACACAAACCTGACCTTGCTCTGTATGCCATCCCAGGGGACTAATAAATACTGACTGGTTTTGAAAGGCTGCCTTGTGTCACTGAAAGCCTTCAGTGACTGCACTGCTCACCCAAGAAGCAGAGTACAGCCTCACCTGTACTCACGGGATGACCACAGGCAGCAAACACATGCCTGTCTTGGAGCTGAAGATGTTTGCCTTCAGAAATGTACATTTATGGTCCATCTCACTATAGTACATTCCTAAACCCCTGTCTATCACGGGTTGCCTGCAAAGTCATGAAGAAATGTAAACACCAAACAGTTTAAGTCTTACACACTCTCACACACATCTCTTTCCAGAGATGGAAAAGAGCCAGCCTTCCTCTGAGGGCACAGACTGCCCAGGCAGTCCAGCAAGTGTCCCAGTTCAGTGTCAGGCTTGCCAAGCTACCCAATGTACCAACTCCCTGCTAACATGGGTAGTATTATCAAAAACATCTGACAATTCTTTGTTGACCTCCCGCCCCTTCCTCACATCAACACGAGGCGTTTCAGTAGTTGGTATACATTTGTTTTAATTTCCAGAGCATCACAACACCATTATTCATTCCTTAGAAATGTTGCATCGCTGCAGTGAGATGAAGGGTACAGAGGGTGAAGTTTATTCTTAGTATTGTGTCTTCAGTAACCGATGAATAAAACCAGTCAAATGGAGCTTAATAGGCATAATCATATAGAAAGCAAAGCAGAACAAAAGCCTGAAAGCAACAGGGAAGGGCTGAAGGAGTTATGCAATACAGTGTTTCAACATGTCATAAAACTTTCAAAAAACAAACAAAAAAAACCCAAGTTCCACGAAGTACACGCTGATCCAATCTTTTCTTTCTGAAGCCAAGAGCCGTCTCTAAACAGCAGCAATGCTCAGAAGTCATTTATCAGTTCCTCTTATCTGGTGGAGTTTCTATTTTAATTTCTGTCCACTAACTCATGGACCTCAACGTAAACAGATGTATCAAGGTTTGACTTCTTTTGGCCTTAACCTTGCTAGATCTTTTCATAAAATACACATTGGACCAAAGAATGAGGTCAAGGCGAAACACCTTCAGGAGAGCCCTTCTCTGAATGGTGACAGGTTCCCAGGACTACTCTTGTGTTTTGTTGCCTGGCTGTGGTTTTCAGGGACAGACCATCAAAAGTTGAGGATAGGTGCTATGTATTGCTGTAATTCAGCTTTCTGACAGTCAGTGCATTTAGCTTGAAGGTTTGGAAATGGCAGTAAAGCTGGGCCAAGAATGAAAAACCCTGAAAAGCGCACCTTCAGTCCGCAGCTTCACTATTTATAAAGCAGGGCTTATACTTTGCCCCCAGTGTTGGAAAGCTATACAAGTTCTTCAGTGCCTGCAATGGCTGGAAGCACAAAGCATGCAGTTATATTGCACTGATTAGAATGCACAGGCAACGAATGATTAATTAGCTTTCCTACTCCTAGTAAGTTTATCAGAGTTGGTACACCCTTTTGGTGTATAGCTTCCAGCTGCTCACAAGACAGGCTTTTGCTAGAAGACATGGCAGAATCCTTCAGCCATACGTGTACCGGGATGTACACAAACAGCAGCAGATGGCTTCTACTGTCTGAAAATTATCAGCCCTGAGGTTACCCCTTCAGTGGCAACATCTGGATTTCTTTGCTAGTGAGAAGCAGCTGTGGCTTGGAAGAGTTTCAAGTGATTTCAGTCTGCTTGGACACCTGGCCAAAACTCCTCATTGCCTCCCCAGTTTGACAATAAGCAACTCAGAGCATTTGCTCATCTTGGTTGTTGCTGTCTCTTAGGAAAGTGCTCACAGACTCTCTAAGTCTTACTAGCTTGCCTGGATAAGAAAGAAATGGTGGTAGAAACAGCTGTTGGCAAGAAATTCCTGGGGGTTAAATGCTAGCAGCTAGCAAGTCTGAGGACAGATGAGCCAATTTCTCTTCATTGCCATGCTTGTTAATATAGGCCACGTCCACACTGGGGATGCCTGAGCATTGTGCAGTCAAGATCTAAAAATCAGAAGTGTGAGATACAACATTTTAATGCACAAGGCAGCTGAATATTTAATCAGACACCAATAGCAACATAAGCTTCACTCATATGGTCTTTCTGTTCTCAGAGTACTGAAAAGCCTTAATTCTTACAGGAAAGAAGCAGAGTTCTCTCCTTTTGGAGATTAATTGCACAAACACATTAAACCATCTAATAAAGTGACACTAACAGGACTAGCACTTATGGAAGCCTGATAAAACAGCCAAATACTCCATGAAAGACCTGCTACTGCCTTCAATGGGTACAAAAATAAGAAAATAGGAAACCAGTCCCCAACATTTCATTAAACCACCATACAAAAAGCAAGTGAAGAACAGTGGCTCAAATTCCCTGACAAGATTTTTATATATTAAGTAGGAAGCTTCAGCTGACTGCTGATTCCCCAGTCTCCGCTGGCACATCCCAGAGAGGTTTCTGCATATGGACATCCTGGCTGTATTTCTAGGCTGTGATGAGCTTCATTATTTCCGTCCTGATGAAGTCAGCTGAGCATTAACACATGTCTGAATGTTTTAATGAAACTGGAAAGAGGAAAAGAG